TTTAAAGATATACCAGCATTAAAAAGGAGATACAAGGGGGCTTGAAGGTGCCCATCACCAATTATTATCTGGATAATAGACCCAGCAAGAAGGCCACAGGACCCTTGGAGTGCTTACAGCCAAGGTTTGGCATGAGCAATTGTTTCATTCCCAAAACTTAGTGGCATATTGTTTATTTAAAGTACATTTGCTAAAAGCCCTAACAAAAAGCCTACACTGAAAGAAGAGTCAAGCTCAGAGCATGCTTTGCTCTTTTCTAAGACTCTACGTCACCAGATGTTTCTTGAAGTAGTTATTATTTACTATTCAACCATGATTCATTTATGAATATGCCTTGTTCACAGGGTGACCAGACATCCTCCTTTTCCAGGACATGCCCTACATTTCAACCTTCTGTTCAGGAGGAATTTCATGATGTTCTCCATTTTGAGCATGACTAAGAAGCATCTATATTTATATTACAGTTTTTAGCTTTATGTGGCAATGTCCTGTTTTTTTCTTGAATGTCCTACATTTTGTGGTGCCATGTCCTCCTTTGCAGTTAGGACACCAAACACATCCTAGCACAGGTCGGTTACATTTCCATTCCTTTGCATTGTCTCTGATGTGTAGCTAATGTCTAATCCCCTCTCTGCACTTTTCCAACTGCCTATCTATCAGCTTTCCAAATGCTGATTTATTTTTTTGCCCAAATGCACTTTCTGTGTCCAGTACACCCTCCTTAAAAAGCTTACTGATTTATGGAGAGATCAAGTTTGGCTTCCATTTGTAATGCCCCACTGCACATCTTTCCTGCTCCTTTTTTCTCACTTTTCTCTTACCACAGAAAATCCACGAAGGTGGAAAGACAGAATAACTCGGCAGTGTCTTTTGACTGGTATGAACTGTCCTTTCAGAAACATCCCTAGGCACAGTTTTCCTCACTATGTTGAAAAGCGCTGTATTTCTATTTAAATTATAATTATTTTTAAAATTACATGTATGCATATAAATCTGTGTTGGCTTTGGGATTTCCTCTTGGTGCTGCATTTTTATTTTCTGATTCTTTTTTGGATGATGTACCAACAGCCATTGTTGAAACAGATGGCTAACTACTTTCTCTTCTATCTGAATGTCCTAAGAAGTCCCTTTTTGGAGGTTTTTAGTGTCTTCTTTTCATGGCTAATCTCAAGGCACTCTCGCTGCAACCATGTCCTTCCCCTGTTTGTTAATAGGATTTCCTCCAGCGCAATCCTGTAGCTACCCTGTAACCTAATATATATCACAAGTTGGGGAAGACGATCTAATCCTCATGACAGATGTAAACCCATTTGCCCTGTGTTGCAATGCTTGGATTGAAGCAAGAATTTCTGAAGCTATTCCACAGGCCCACAAGCCAACTATATCAGGGCCATAAAGGAAGATCTGGGAAACTTCACCCTTACCCAAGGGACAAAGTACAGTTTAATCATTCTCTTTATCCTTGTTGGTAAATCTCTAGCCAGACTTAAGTCATCTTTCCACCTGAAGCAGGGCCACCATTGGTACCTCCACCAATTTTACTCAAGCAACATTATGCAAAGGGATTTTGTAGCACTTTTGAGATTTACTGATGTAGTATAAGATTTTGTAGACTTGGGCTGCATCCCCACTGCAGAAATAATCCAGTTTCACACCACTTTAACTGCCATGGTTGAATGCTATGTGATTCTGGGAATTGTAGTTTTGTGAGCTACACAAACCACAGCAACTACAATTCCCAGACTTCCATAACTTTGAGCCATGACAGTTAAAGTGGTGTGAAACTGGATTATTTCTGCAGTGTAGATACAGCCTAGATCTACTTACCCAGATGCATGGAGGAAGAAAACTTAAGGCTATGAAAGCTTATGCTACAACTTTTCTGAAAGATAACTGAACATTATTCTCAAAGGTGCTACAAGATCCCTTTGCATACTGATATTCCAGACTAACATGGTTAGCTCTCTGAATTCAAGCAGCGTGGTTCACAAAGCTAGCCAAGTTATTTTGGCACATGAAGCAAAAACAGAAGCAGGTCCTTCCAGCTTTAGCAGGAAAAAATATACAGTAATAACAAATAAAAGAGCAAACAGTCTGCTGCCCTTTCATCATATCTCACAATGCCCATCTAAATTTTGCTACTTGAAGCATCAGCTTCATTCTGCTTAACTGTAGTCAATCTCTTAACCAGGGCTCAAATTCTGGACTTGTTGATGTGACCATTTTTAGGCAGAATGAATGAATCTTTTTTTTAATGCTTAGGACAGACAAATTGTTTGTCCTTTATGTCTCCCATGCACTATCCCAATTTACTGCACAACTACTGAGTTTTGGAAAATGAGGGAGACACGGGATGACATAGAAATGGGAAATCAGGATCCAATAGTTAAGTATTCAAGTCCAGAAGCAGAAGCAGGGAAAACAACAACCCAAAACTAACCATATATATTAAAGCACCCTTGAGACTAAATAAAATATAGACATTGGTAGCATGAACTTTCGTAGACTTGAGCCTACTTCCTCAAATGCATTTGGTCCTCAAGTCCATGAAAGCTCATGTTACCAATGTCTATATTTCATTTCATCTCAAAGGTGCTGCAAGATCCCTTTGCATACTGATTTTCTAGGACTTTGAATTCTGCCACACATATTAAAGTAATTGCTCTCCTCCTATAAAAATAAAAAGGGTCGAAAATCTGTGGCCTGTTGAAAAGGCACACAAATTTATAATGAATATATATAACCTTTATCATGAGTCAAATCTTCCACCATGATATATTGAACTTTTTATTAGTGATAAATAAATGTTAATTAATCTCTGGAGCCATTCAGATGATCATTCAGATGATCACAGAAAATGCAGTTCAACTGGATGCACAGATAATTCAGCATGGTGTTAACCTGTTGTGCGATTCCTGGACCACATGCTCGGCTCACACCTGACATTTAAGGGTTTTTTAAAACCTCTTTTCACTAGCTCAGGGAATGTGGGTTGAGATTGTAATGAACCTTGATTACCTCTTTGCATGAGTAACATATTTCTCACTCCAAATTTCCACATGCTAGTTTGTCTGTGTGAATTGACCAACATATTGCCTCTTTTTTTTTTGGCTTGGCACTGCCAAGAATGCATGGGCATGACTGATACTACCGGTAATTGTTTCAATTGGGTTACCATTACCACAGTGTTAGTGTGAATTAATTTGTTGTAGTTGTTGTTGTTGTGTGGTTTCAAGTCATTTCTGATTTATGGCGACCCTAAGGTGAACCTATCATGGAGGTTTCTTGGCAAGCTCCTTCAGAGGAGGTTTACTGTGGCCATCCTGAGACTGAGAGAGTGTGACTTGTCCACTGGTGGGTCTATATGGCTGAGCCAGGATTGGAAACCTGGTCTCCAGTCCTAGTCCATCACTCAAGCCACTACATCATGCTGGCTCTCTGATGTGGATTAATACCAACTGGTATATTCCATGGAATGCTAAAAATACAAATTAATGGGTCTTAGGGTAAATCAAGAGTGAACTCTCCCTGGAAGCCAAGATGACTAAATTGAGACTGTCATACTTTGGACATATCATGAGAAGACAAGACTCACTAGAAAAAAACAAGAATGCTTTTAAAGGTAAAAAGCAGTAGGAAAAGAGGAAGAGCCAGCATGGTGTAATGGTTTGAGTGTTGGACTATGGTTGCATCTGCACTGCACTTTAACTCCCATGGTTCAATGCTATGGAATTCTGGGAACAGTAGTTTTGTGTGCGATTTAGGCTTCTCTGCCAGAGAGCTCTGGTGTCACAACAAACAACAACTCCTAGAATTCCATAGAACTGAGCCACTGCAGTTAAAGTGGTGTCAAACTGAATTATTTCTGCAGTGTGCATGCAACCTATGACTCTGGAAGCCAAGGTTTGAATCCTGGCTTGGCCATGTAAATCCACTGAGTGATCTTGAGCAAGTCACACTCTCTGAGCCTCAGGGGAAGGCAGTGGCAAACCCCCTCTGAAGAAACTTGCCAAGGAAACCCTATGATAGGTACGCCATAGGGTCTACATAAGTCGGACATGGCTCTAAAACACACAAGAACAACAACAACAAAAGAGGAAGACCGCATTCAAGATGGATAGACTCAATTATGGAACCCTGAGTCTGCAAGACCTGAGCAGGGCTGTTAATGACAGGGTTACATAATAATATTAAAAATAATATTAATAATAATTACTTCTTACCTGCCTCTCCCCATGGATCAAGGTGGGGAACAACAACAAATCAATAGTGGAAAGCATAAATTAAAGAACATTAATTAAGACATGCATTAGTTTAAAAGGCAGTCCACATATGAAATTCAGCATCTAAATTCACAGTTTAAAAATCATCTGGATAAACCAGACTTGGAGGTCTCTCATTCATAGGGTCACCATAAGTCAAAGTCAACTTGATACCAATTAACAGCAATTAGGGGTCATATTGCAACCATTCATCGGTTGAAGGAATGCACCAAAGAATTTCCAAGGAAAATCAGCCTGTGCTTTTTAGATAATAGCAAAGACCTTGACTGTATAGATGATGAAAAATTATACACTGCTCTAAAAGAAATGGCTGTGCCACAACTCTGTGAGAGAGAATATGGAAAAACAGTGGTCTTCACTTGGCAAGGGTGACAGACAAGTCTACATTTTCTCACTTTAATTTATTCTCAGAACATATCCTACAGCAAGCAGGATTGGACCTGGAGGAAAGAGACACGATAATTGTGGGAAGGAACTTTAATAATTTTAAGATAGGCACATGATACCATATTTGTTGTTTTTGTTTGCTGTCAAACTGATTTTGATTTATGGTGACCCTATGAATGAGAGACCTCTAAGACCTCTGGACCTCAGCCGCTCTACTCAGGTTTTGCAGGGCTGTAGCTTCCTTCATTTAATCAATCTACTTAGAATATGATCTTCCTCTTTTCCCATTGCCTTTTGCTTTACTAACCAGCATAGTCTTTTCTGTGACAAAGCACAGTGTAGTGGTTTGAGTGTTGGACTGCAATTCTGGAGACCAGGGTTCGATTCCCAGCTCGGCCATGAAACCCACTGGGTGACTTTGGGCAAGTCACACTCTCTCAGCCTCAGGGGAAGGCAAGGGCAAACCTCTTCTGAACAAATCTTGCCAAGAAAACCCCTTAGGATTGCCACAAATTTGAAACAACTTGAAGGCACACAACACACACAGTCGTTTCCAGTGAATCATGTCATTTCATTCTGTGTCCAAAATATGATAGTCTCAATTTAGTCATCATGCTTCCAGTTCTGTTTTACTCCTTTCAGGCCTGATTTATTCTAGGGCCCACTCATTTGCCTTTTTAGCCATCTGTGGTTCCACAGAACTCTCCTCTAGCAACATATTTCAAACAAGTTGATTTTTCCCCCCTGCCAGCTTTCTTTATTCTCCAGCTTTCACATCCATACATAGAAACTGGAAATTTTATGACCTCCCAGGATTCTGTAGAATGGAACTATGGCAGTTAAAATGGTAGCAAGCTGCATTATTTCTACAGTCTAGATGTAGCCTTAATCTTCTGATTTCTTGACTATAATCTCCACTTTGGTTAATGACTGAGCCAAGGTATCTTAACTCGTTCAGTGTTTTCAATAGCCACTTTAAGTTATGTAAATCATCAGGGCTCACTATTTTTATTTTCCTAATGTTTAACTGTAACCCTGCTTTTGCATTTTCTTCTTTAACTTCCATCAGCAATCAAGTCTTTGCTATTTTTTTTTGCAAAATATAGATAGTATATTACTAGTAGAAAATAGCCAAGATTTGGAGTAAGTATAGACTCAGGGGGGTTGCAGACTGCCAGAAATAGTGCAAATTGAGTCCACTTTTAGGGTTAGGGTTAGTGCTAGGGAATCATGGGAATTGTTTCTTTCCTGAGACATTGAGCCTTCTCTGTCAGAGAGCTCTAGTGCCACAATAAAATACAGTTCCCATGATTCCCTAACCCTAACCCTAAAAGTGGACTCAATTTGCACTATTTCTGGCAGTCTGCAACCCCCCTCAGTTAAGGAAGCCACCGTTCTGACTTTGCAAGGGCCATTAATACCAGTCTGTTTTCAAAACTTCTCATTCATAGGGTGGCCATAAGCCGAAGCTGACTTGATGGCAATTAATTGGCCAGATTCTCATGTGCTTTTAAATAATTTCTGTTGGCTTTGAGGTACATACAGAAAGTAGAATCCAGCAGCAAATTCTAACTCGATTTTTTGAGACCTTTCCAATTGGGTCATCCTTTTGCACACACGCACAGGTGTGTGTATGTACATACATATGCCCAGGACATGACAACAAACTATATCTGGTTCAGTTCATTTCTTTGCAGACTGAGCAGAAAGTGTGCAGATATCAGGATTTTTTAATTATTCCTTGCTCAGGAGACTGGTTTGGTAAGCCCCGAGCTATCTTGCTAGGTTGACAAAGCAACAGAATCACTCCTTCCAATAGAGAATTTAGATGGTGAATGCCTACAGAGTTGGAATTAAAACAGCCCTGCTACTGAGAAGGTGATGGAATAAAATGTCCTGAACGCAGAAAATCTCCTGAAGGGAAATTATCATAGTAGGAGATGAGGATTTTGATATGTTAATCCTTAGATCTACCTATCATTGTTACCTTCTTCCTTCCTTATGCGACACGTGTTGCCCAAATGTTCCGAACACTGTGAAATGTTGGCAGTGTAGACAGGAAGGCAAATGTTTAAATAGAACAATGCTCAGGTTGATCTATACTAGTCATTGTTTTTCATCCATAATTCAATTAAACTATGAACTGGAAGTCCCTGGTCCAAATCACAAACATCCTCTCATGGACAGAGCACACAAGATAAGGAAAGGTCTTCTCAGTTCTTCCACGCTGTCAGTTGATAATACTGACCTATGTTCAAAGACTGAAACAGTTATCACTACAATATTGTACCCAAAATGCTAGAGTCGCTGGGAAAAGTATATTAGGATCATTTAGATAAATATGGATGCAATCTCAGATTTCTTTGCCATGGAGCACATTAATCTGGTTTGAAAACTAGGCAAAAAACAAAACAAAACTGGGGGCAATCTATCTCTACCAGCAATATTGGGTTAGCACAAGTCCCTGATGAGAAAGGAGCCCTGTGACATCTTCTTTCCCCATATCTCCTGAAGCCCCCTTAGTGAAATATTGCTTACCTTAGAAGAGTGAGATCAACAGATTGTGTCTCGATGCAATTGCTCCAACACAAGTGTTTATACTCCAGTGTAAGAAACACACCTCTTTTAATAGGACACGGGGGCTGGCTTTGATCTTGTCAGGACCTGAACAGAGAACTACAGGTTTTTATCAGCCTCACAGCATATACACCCACCTCTTGGGAATCCGGAACCACCTTCACCCTGTGAATGTGACATTCTTGCCATACATCTTGCCCATCCCTTCCCAAAATGGTGACCTCCCAGTTTACTACAATGGTCTAGATACTTGGCCTAGCCCAATTCTTTTGGCAGTCCTACCAGATGCTGCTTTGGCAGTCCTACCAGGTGGGTTGCAAAGGCAGCTCCCGCTGGTTCATAAACTGTACACAACCACAGAACAGGTTGAAGCGGACACACAACTTTTTAACTCAGCTGATCACTCCAGCTGCATTACCCAGTTGCAACACATGTCATTAAGTTTCACACCCTAGGAAGCAGATGTTATCACCCCATCTCCATTCTAAGGAATCCTGGGATTTGTAGTTTGGTGAAACAGCTCATATTCTCTGCTAGAGTAAAGTACACACATGTAAGTTCCCCAGGAGAGAATTCAAAATACCTCACCAAATATAAAAATGCAGCATTGTTTACCAAGTGGTATCTAACAGCTTATAACTGTTCAATTAGTATAGACACACTCTTTTGTTGTGTGCCTTCAAGTTGTTTCCGACTTATGGCAACCTTAAGCTGACCCTATCATGGGGTTTTCTTGACAGTGTTCAGAGGTTTGCCATTGCCTTTCCCCTGAGGCTGAGAGAGTGTGACTTGCCCAAGGTCACCCAGTGGGTTTCATGGCTGAGTTGGGAATCAAATCCTGGTCTTCAGAGTTGTAGTCTAACACTCAAATCACTATGTCATGCTGGCTTTCATAGATATACTCAATGGTTCCCAACCTAAGGGTTATGCTGCCACTAAATGAGATGCAGACATTGCACTAGAAATGCACAGCATCACACTTGATCCCAAATGCAGATATAAAAAACACCAAGCCATATTTCTTTTTCTTATAAAAGTTTATTTAAATCCCAGAAAGGGTTTTGTAGATGCTGGAGCCCAAATGGGCGAGGCACTGTGTTATGTGGTTGCACTAATGTTACATGGGACACAATATTAAACAAACAAATACACACATATCCACAAATACAAGATCAAACCAGAACTGGCATAGCAGTACTCCTCAGTTACGTTGTCAGAGGCAGAAGGCTCAGAATATGATACTGCCACATTAATACGCTGGATTTCAGTTCTTGCACCCTCCTTCTTATGCCCCAGTTTCTCTTGGTTAGCGTTCTGTTTATGTCTTAGAGACAATCAGTACCAGAAAGCTAACAAAAAACAGGAATTTTAAGATTACTTGAATGCACTAGAGTCTCAAATATGGTGGAAGCACAAGGCAGGGCTTGGAGATTTTTTTTATTTGTTTGACTACAACACCCACTCTCCCACTGACCACACTGGAGAGGATTCTGGGAGCTGCAATCAAAACAGGTTCTGCAAACACAAGTGTACGTGTCACCTCACCTCCCTGGTGAGACCTGACAAGGGCAACATCAAGGAAAGCCAAATCCCAAAAAGTGGAAATAACTGTCCTCTCCACACTCAAGCTTGGAAAGCTAAGAGAAAGCCCCAGAAACTCTTGTAAGTACAGAATCTGAATCCTTTTATAGGGTCAATTCATAGAGCTGAAAGAGCCCCTAGCCTCACTCCATGTCAAGTAGGAACATCCCATTAAAAGATAAGAATACTTTGGCCTAGTTACTTCAGATGGACCAAGGCAAAGATGGAAAACCTTTGGCACTCCTCATGCTTTGGAGTGCAACACCCCTAGCTCCTGGGCACTGGTTATGTTAGTGGATGTCTCTGAGAGTTAAACACCTGGTGGATCAAACACTTCCCAGACTCTCCAACCTGCTCCAGTTGACCTGCTCCAACACAAGCCAGAACTGACATAAAACTGAGGTCCATGTTTGACAGAAAGACGCCTGAAGCCAGGGATATTCTATTCAATTTTAAAAGAACTTGCACTTCTTTATTGGCATTTCCCTTTTGGTGCACTTTTTAATGGGGCTAGGCGCTCTTCATTTTGTTTTGTTTTTTCACTTTCCTCAACCTAAAAAGCCCCAGGGCACAAAGGAGAGAATGAAAAAAACCCACTAGGACAAGTACTAGAAGCCAGATGCAGACTTGGAATGGCTAAACAGGAATGGAAATGTGGGGCAAGGAGGGGAGTTAACAGTATATTACCTCAGGGCTGAAGAACTTGTGGCTCTGTAGATGTGGCTGAACTTCCATTCCCATCGGACAAGGTGAGGTTAAAGGCATGATGGGAGTAGCAGTTCAGCAACATCTGATGGGCTGAAGCGTCTCCACCTCTGCATTATAATATCCATTTTCTGGCTGGACTGAAGAAAACATTTCTAACACTCAAAACTTATGGCAGGTATATACTTTGCATTAACGCAACAGGAAGCAGCAAGGGCTCCCACAGGTTCATCCCCCTAAATAAATAACAACATGGCACCTGCAGAGATAGCGCCATATCCATATTGCATTAAAACATAAATCCAATCCTCCTGCCTCCAGGAGGTGTCCTGAGGGGGCTCCAATACTGATCAAGGTGTACAGGAGGAAGCCAGCGCTGGGAGCCTCAAAACGCTGCTTGCATTGTGCTTATCTTCTACCCCTTGCCACAGCAGAAGGGAGAGAAGGGCAAGCAAAAAATCCTTGTGTAAACAGAAGGGTGCCCATTGGTCTCTACTGTCTTGGCTAGGGACTGGAATACCAGCCCCATTGTCTAA